CTGACTATTCTATCCATGTACAACACAAACAGGATAGGGGACAGGACGCAGCCTTGGCGGAGACCTGTGCCAATGCTGAAAGGTTTCTACTTAACACTATTTACCCTTAACAGCAAATGTCATCAAAGAATAATGACTAGAAGACTAGTAACATTTGGCAATAGATCCCATATGTTTGGAGGAACATCCATAGCTTATCGTCCGGGTTCCAATAACAAGCTTTCTCCGCGTCCATAAAGCATATGTTAACAGGATGGCGAATTCCCACCACTTCTCAACAATCTGGTGTAAGGCTAAGATCTGCTTAGAGGTACTTCGGCCTCACCTGAAGCTATACCGCACTTCTTAGATCTTCTCGAATTAGTTGACTATTCGACGGCACATCCTTTCCAACATGTTTGCGTGCATTTTAGACTAGAGGCTGAATAAAATAACACCATGATAACTGAAACAATGTCTATGATCTGTCTTCTTGAACAATGATACTGTCACCCCAGTTCTCCAGTCTTCCAATGTCTTCTCCATAATCTCCACATTCTCCAACATACTTTGTTCGTCTACAGCTTTAAATATCTCCGGGCAAATTTCATCGAGTCCAATAATCTTGGTACGTATCAAACCATTCATATCTTGCATGATTTCAGTTACAGAGAGACTGATATCGGTTATCCGCTGCTCTTCAAGCGAGTCTTCACTCGATCGCTTGGTTTCAAGCAATTGCTCTCTGTACTGTCGTAATGAAACTAAACTCTGCTAGTAAATTCGGATGTTTGTTTCAGTGAAGAACACATACCAACTGAAAAGAAATTTTTTTGACAAACATTAAAGTGCTTGAAGATCAATTTGGAATCAAGGAGACAAGATATCGACCTAAGCATCTGTTAATTAACGGAGGACAGATCAATCCTCTTCGATTTACTGAACACATCATGCTATGACGGATGAAACCATAACAACCTGAAGTCATATTATGTCACCTAGAGTTAAACAATAAGCAAACTGGAAAGACGCTAGAGACAGAGAAGGTGAACACAAAGATGATGAGAAACGAACCTGCACAATCAGAAACAATTACAAACTCTGAACGTCAACTAGAAGTCATCTAGCATGTCCACTTGGAGCAGATAAGCATCTCGGACCATTTGTTGAGTCTAAAGCTTACTAAAAAGTGTCGTACGATCTGTAGTACATAGAGAAGAAAAGTTGAAATTGTTGTAAACATTAACTGCCTTTAGAACGAAGTTATATGAAACTACGGCATACGCAACAGCTGAATATGGGAGACAGATCTGGCCAATAATATAAAAGCGATCAAGAAATGCGCAAAGAAAAAATTTTCAAGAATTTTTATCAGGGACAAGCTGCAATACAAAGAAATACGAAGCAGCCATGCAACGTGTCAGTGGCACAAGACAGAAAATAACTGGGTAAGTTACATCGCACGAATGATCGATGAACTTTAGCAATGACGGATTGGAATTCAAGAGGCTTTAAGCGCATAACTATAAAACCTCGGCTGAGGTAGGGCAGTGAGGCAAAAAATCGATATGGAATTCTGATGCAGCCAAATCAAATGATACAAACAAACATATGCATCGAGCCTAGGCCTGGTGGTCTTCGAAAGATCAGTCAAGAATTAATACCCAAAGAAATAAAACGAGTCAGTGTTCTTCATTCAACATACCGGATCCGCTCTCGCGTTCGGTTCGATACTCCCACGCATGATCCATTTGGGTAAGCACCGTTTCAACCACTTTCAATCGATTCAGTATTTCGGGAACCATCAGAGGTACGTTGTCCATTATCATCTTTGCCTGACTGAACAGCGTATCGTAGCGATCGCGAAACGCCGAAATCACTTCTTCGTTTAGCTAAAGAACATAAACTAAGTGAATCCAAATAAAATGATACAAAAGCACAAAACAACAGTACAATCTGAAATCACCTAAGACTTCAACAGCCGTCAGTACACATAGTACGAGTTAGAATAAGTATGATTTCATTTCGATTCTGTTTTCCTTTCGATGTTTACAGGCACAACTACAGATCTAAGACAGTCTGCTTTCCTGCCATCATTTCAACCAAACCTTGTAGATAACCTTCAGAACAAACTACATGAGTCGGAGCAAGCCGAAAAACTGAATGCAAAATACAGTCTTTAAATTCTGTGTTCTGGTCATAGCGATAATCACCCAGTCCCTAATGCTTATATGGAAATATCTAGTGTAACCAACAAATTTTCAAACTCTACGCCATGGAATTTATTGCCAAACAAATGCACGAACCATTCTACTGACAGCAACGGCACATTCATTCATTCGTGAAGGACCAGCAACTGTTACAGCAATGTGAGACAGCCCAAATTCCCCCTCATAGGATAGCAAAGAATGCAGAAATCATGTCCTAAACATCTAAGTGCAAAGAATAACAGGTCAGGATATTGTCGCTGCTTTGGTCATCTAAGATTCATAAACCTGAACGGCGAACCGTCGTCAAGCGCCATCCTATTCTTCTTCGTATTATCTTTCTCTTTCCATTTATTTATTTATTTATTTTATTGCTCTACTTTTCTCACTCCTATTCTTTATTTTCTTATTCTTTCTCCCCGCTTGCAAAATTTATTATTGTCTTTCATCCTTTAAGTTCTTTGCTTCCTTTTACTCGTTCTCTTTGTCCATAATTTTCAAACCTGTTTTTTTCTTCCTTCTAATTTTTCTCTTTCTCCCGCTATGTTTTATTTGTTGTTCTTCAATATTTTCTTTATTTACTTTTTAGCCTTTCCTTTCCCGTTCTTGTCCATTTTTGTACTCGTTCCTCTTTCCCGTCATCCTTGTTTTTCTCCCCTATGCTCATGCTCATTTTCTCTTTCTTAATCTTCGTTTTCCACCTTCCTTGGATATAGTTACGCCAATACTTTCAGAGGGTTAAGACATCAATCGGATGCAGTCCGAAGCGCAATGAATATGTCATATAATATATGTATGCGGAAGACTCTCGCAATGAATAATTCTGCATCCGCATAATTTTAAATTTCCATCACACTCCAAGAAACGTAGCAGTTGATGGCATGAATATTATTTCAGCTCGAAACTTCGACTAAGGGTTAAGGAACCGCTGCATTTTTGTTAAAATCCTCGGTTATGACCAGCAGGGTCGCCCTCTGCAGTTTAGCCATCGTTATCGCTTCATCAATTGATTTTAATAGTAGGTGTTGATGGTGCCTTTTCACTGCTTCGAGGTAGAGATCACCACAGGAATGACTTCAGTTCTTGCACTTTATATCTTCTGTATCTTCACCTTCATCTTCATCTTCCATCGCCGCTTCTCCTTTCGGGTCGCGGAGAGAGACGCGTCAGACAGAGCTTCCAACGTTCCTGATCCTGTGCCAGAGACCGAGCTTCGGCAGAAGACAACTGGAGTCTGGAACAGATTTCTTCCATATGTTTGCACCAGGTTAATCTTCTGGTATATCCTCTGTATCTCCATCTTCAATTCTTGATATTTCAGTAT